GAACAGAGGTGCCCACCCTGCTTGACCAGCCTGGCTCAGAAGTGTCTGATCTGGGAGTGCTGCCCCATGTGGGTGAAGCTCAAGATGCTTCTCTTTGGGATTGTGATGGACCCCTTTGCGGAGCTCACCATCACATTGTGTGTTGTGGTGAACAGTCTTTTTTAATGTTATGTTAATCACCATACATTACATCATTAGTTTTTGATGTAGTGTTCCATGACTCATTGTTTGCGTATAACACCCAGTGCTCCACGCAGTACATGCTCTCTTTAATACCCATCACCAGGCTAGCCCATCCCCCACCCCCTCCCCTCTAGAACCCTCGCAGTCTTCATGGCCATGGAGCAGCACGGCATGAGCGCTGCCCTCAGAGCCATGGTCCACATAGGCAACATTGTGAGTGCGCTGGCAGCCCTTGGCCAGCTGTCATGGAGGGGGCTTTGGGTGGGGTGGCAGCGTGCCCTCATTCACTGGAGTGTTGACACAGCTAGCTGAGAGCAGAGGGGTGATACTGGAGATGTGGTGGCACTGAGAGCAGGAAGTCTAGTCTGGAGTGCCAGGCTGAGCAGGTGCGAACTGCTTTCGGACAAACCAGCCCAGGGAAATGGACCTAGAGAGTCCTGACTGAGGGGCAGCTAGCTCCCTCTTTATAGACCTGAGGGCAGGCCCTTGAATTCTCTGGACCTCAGCTGCCTCTGTGTTGAAATTGGATAAATGTCATTTCCCCATCTAAAGACAGCCTATGGATGTGCAAAGTTTCCTCCTAGTTCTATTGCTTTTATGACTGCAAAAACCAATGGTGGTGGTTTTTCACTATGTCATTTAAGGGCAGACAGAGTAGGGGTGGGGCGGGGAAGGCAATGGGAGGGAGGGAACATGGAAATGTGGTTGCTGTTGTAACAAAAGCACCAGGGAGTCCGAACTTTTCTTGTGTATCTGGTTTGGACAGTATGCTACTTTAAGTTGTCCTCCATTATTTCTTTTTAGTATGATTTGCTTTTAACTAGATGAAACCCATACTGGACTTCACTACACGGTAAGCAGATGCTAACAAGGTTGGGATCCTGCCTCCATGTCCCCTGCAGTGCCAACCCCACTAGAGGTGGCCTGTTTGGTCTGCCAGGATCGTCCCTCTATTCCAACTCCACATAGGCTGCCGACTGAGGTAGAAAGAAGGGTCTCGGGGGAAATGTGACTACTCTTCCTTAGAAACCTCCCCTTCTCCCAGAATCCAGTGATGTGAAGAGGATTCTGGGACGCTATGGAACCAGCATAGCATGCCTTATGTTTTGGCAGCACCTGGGCTGAGAGGCCACGTTCTATTTGAAGTTGATATGAAGAGGGGTGGAGCAAGATGGCAGAGGAGGAGGAGACCTGGATTTCATCTGGTCTCAGGAATTCAGCTGGATGGGGATCAAACCATTCTGAACACCTACAAACTCAACAGGAGAT